ACAAGCAATAAAATGATTTATTTTTGCTCCTGAATTTCACATAGTAATTCAAATTTTTAATAAATTATTTAAAGATTTAAAATTTTCAATAAACATATAACAACACTAATGACTTTTACAATTTAATCAACGATTTAATCCATATGCACAATGGTTAAGGTCAACAAATGAAACTGATTCAATTTACTTATTAAAAACTACCTGTTTATTCTTTAGGTTGAAGTTAACACAAGGACATTGACGAAATTAAAGAAAGTTGCGCATTTTGAATAATAAAAATTGATAAATTGCTCTTAAAAGACATTTTCATCTTTGCAATGTTTCATGAAGTTTGTCGGTCTCTTAGCTTTGGTTAAACATTTTTATTGTTATCATTAGTAAAAAAATAAGCAAAATATCTACCGTTTAGTGCTCATTATCTCATTACTTTTGCACCTTCCCTAATTAAAAATGATAAAAGTAATGGAAAAAAAGTTTTCACAAATTGAAAATCGGAAACATTTCGTTGCAAACTTAATTAATTTGCACAATTCATTTGCTAATCCATTTGGAGTAATATAAGTGATAGAAATGATAGATCAAAATGACAGATTAGGTGTTATTATTATTCATAAATATTTACACTAAAGTGATTTATTTTCGTTCTAATTAGTAATTTTTTAAAAAATTATTTCAGTAATACTTCTTATTATATTTTATGCGTTTTATATGGTCATGTTATGGCAAATTCAGGATCGATATACTTGCAAAGAATGCTCACAGTTATATTTTGATGATGAACAATCAAACGTTAGTTAGCTATTTTCTCCAAATCAGAACAATCATCGACATTTCAAGAAGATGAAATTTTTGCTCAGCACAGAGAAATTTGAACTGAACAATTACCAAATCCAAATATCCGTTATACGATCGCCGCTCCATGCAATATTTGACTAAACAATGAATTTTCGGATTTACATCTGATTGTATATGCACTAATAACAATATTAATAGCGCTGCAAGTGCATTGTGCATTTTGCATGCGTCACGTATGCACGAAGCAAACGTTTTTGGTTTGCAGTTCAGTACATCGAAGCAAGCACTATCATCGATATTGCAATTGAGCAGGTATTTAGAGAATAAAACACTACTCGTTGATCCTCGCTTCATATCACTAATACAAGGTGAAGCTTTTGTTGTGCGATACACTTTTACAAAGTTTTATTAAAATAAATTTTATTAAAACAAAATTAAATTTAAACATTTTTAAAAAGTCGCTTAAAAAATATCTTAAAAACGCTCAGTAAATCACATTTCAACTAGCTATAATATTGCAAAATTCATTAAAAAAAAGACACTAAATTGCATTATTTATGTCTTAGATTCGAGCATGCGCCGAGATGAAAAGATTCAAATTAAGTTTCAAAGAAAGAAAAAATGTTCTCAATATCGTTTATTTAAATAATATTTCGATACTTTATTGGATAACAGCCGCAGTATTTAATCCAAAATTTGGGGATAAAATAAAATATAATTACGTTTAAAGTTTACATTTAACTATATTAGTTCACATTTTGAAAACAAAATGCATTAATTCCTGAGAAACACCAAGCATTTTTCAGATGTTCAAACACATTTCATCGGTGATAAGCAACTACGTATTGGTGAGGAGAACCTTAATGATATTTTAGAATCAAATAGTGTAGTGATGGCATTCTTTGATCGAGACGGGTTAGATATCGTAAGTATTTCACATAAGATATTATCACTCGACCTACCTTCCTTAAACGAATCACTTTTAAAATGAATAATTTATATTAAAATATGAATTAATTTTGCATGAGAGTTCCAGTAGAAATAAATTTAAATTTTTTTTTTTTTTTCATTTTACAGAGTATTGTAAGAGACACTCTGTCGTATTCAAACTGTAAAACAGTCCAAAGAACTTAAAAATCTTCGAATCTTTTTGATTGATTTACATTTAACTGTGTGTGCTTTAAGTTAATAACTTATAGATAAATGCCACAATATATGACATTATGTGTATTCCATTCCTCTTTTCAGCTAAATTTGTTGAAGAGTCATAATTTATCATGGAAAAAATTCACTGATCAAAGCTTTGAAATAATAATCGATGGAATTTCTCATCGACTAATACCGTTCAGTTTATCGAAAAGCGAAGATTACATCGAATTTATTTTGAGGAAGGTTAAAAGAATCATACCAAAGTAATTCATTATTGAATTTGCTAACTATTTCCAGATAATTTTAAGTTATTTTTTCAAAATCAATTCAAATTTTCAATATTTCTAGACATGTAACAGCATCATCCATCAGCAGAATGAAGATTTTGATTGAGAAGATTGAATTTCAGATTTGCTGTTGTGAAATACAGGATGGAGAATGAAAGTTTCGTAGGTCCGGCTGACTGGATCAGATTTGTGTGGACCTTACAGCGCAGTAGATTTATCAGCTGTGAGAAAGATTTCGCAGCACGGTACCGCCAAACTTACCCTCAGTTCTTCAGTGGAAAACCTCGAATTCAAAATGGGATCATATTGACACTTCAGAGGTTCCGCAATTGGGCGATTGAGCGTGGTATGACACCGATGCTCTGTGCCGGTACATTGCTAGGTAATTAATGTTTGCAATGCAAATTTATGCTTAAAGTTAAAAAAAAAAACAACAGCGGAAAAATCGAAAGGAACTCAAACAGCTGTCTGAGAAAATGCATTATCTTTTACGGCAACCAATCTCTTATTTGCTTTATTGTGTAAACTGTTGAAGCTGTTGTTTCAATAAATGCATAAATTTTTATTTAAGTTCTCACCATGTAGTTTCGTCAACTTTCCTTTTTGACGTTCTTTTCGTGCATTACTTTTAAGAAATTAAGCTTCGTTTAAGTCTAATTCCAATGTGACTGAATGAAATTTCTGGCAAAAATCAAATTATAAGAAAATTTTCTTTTGTATTGTTTTGTTTATTATGGAAATTTTTTACTGATATAAATTTAGGTTGGTATCGAGAGTGTGGTATTATAACATATACACATGACATCGACTTTACGGTTTTCATCGAGGAACACTATGACAAATTTCCTGATGATGTTATGAATAGCTCGTTTATCGAGCTTAGTCTGCGGTTCAACAAAGTGAGTTAAAACTCTACGTTCATAGAAATAGAAAAAAGATAAGTAAGTAATAAAGTAATTGATTAGCCAGAAATTTCATATTGCTAGCAAATAAGGTTTGCGTATTAATTCATTTTATTCCAATTTAGCATTCAAATTTCGGATTTTTACAGCCGGAAGACTTATTGGAATACAAAGTGTACATAGAGAATGGCATTCCAATGGATATTTTCTTTTTATATCATGATCAAAACAGTTCCTGGATTGGAGGTCTATCTGGTGCAACCAAGTACAGGCAAGTATTTACAAATTTCTCTTTAACTCTACCACTAAACTAATCTGTCGCCAGAAATTAACATTTAGTAAGATTTGAGGTTTATTTATCCGTTGATTAATCGAACTTGTGCAACCGATCTGCTCGGTTATTTGATGTATGTTCCATGCAATGCGTTGGATGTTATTGCGGTAAGTTTTATAATCCGAATTTATATATGAATCTCCAAGAAATGTCTCATTGTTCGGAATTAAAACAGAAAGTGTCAATGAACGCCATCATATCAAGCAAGAAAAACTAACTCAAAGAAATATTAAAAAATTTTTTCCTATTTTCAGAGTGATTATAGCAAGAATTGGTCAGAACCGCTTCATTCTTCCAGATATTTCTGGAATAAATCTCCATCAAATATATTAGGGGCTGGAACTGTTCCTCCAGAAGAGAGAGCTGAATCTTTCATACAATACAACAGGTAATCAACTGACTGAACTCTAAATGATTAGCATTTAATTTCGATGGTATTAAACAGCCTTCAGTTCAACACACACAAATGACCTCCCATTTCCACTAAATATTTCAGTGTAAAAAACAAAAAAGCCAATGAAAAGAAATCAAATCCTCCGATAAAACGTGTGACATCTCAAAGAGCTGAACATTATAAAACATCGAATGTTTCACAACGACTAATGAACACTTGAAGACGTGCTGGTAGTCAATAGCGCTTCTTCGATTCGAGAGCAGAATATTCCGTCCAAAGTTTTGTGTAAATAACTGGTGACAATGCCGTATGGGGAATATTATAATCTTTATTCGTATCGAACATCCTTTATTTAGACAAAAGAATGAAACAACTGTTGTATTGACGGCATACCGATCCTAAATAACATAATTTGGGGAAATTGCGACATTTTCGCAGAAAGATGAAAGTTTTTCCTTATTCTTTTATGATTTTGAGTGAAAATGTCGCAGTGTTATTGCTCATTCGCCTTTGTATTGTTATCTTTAGTGTTAATACTTTCTGTTGATTCTATTTATAAATACTTATCAATTAGTTGCTTGATTAAAAAATCCTCAAAAAAGTAATTGTAATTATCAATCGAAAACAAAAATGATAATTACAGGAATTCTAAAATAAAAACATCGGAATTTATCCTATCATTAGTCTCAAAAATAAAAAGTAAGTTTCTAGCCACATTGAAATTCTTAGCCACAAAAAAAAAAGAAAATCTGAATAACGTTTGAGAACATAATCTGATAGCACATTTTTGCATTAAAAGGTGGCAGAGAGTAGAAGATAATTAGAATGGATAAATTGAATATTGCTCAGTAAGCACTGAACATGTTTTAACGGATCTCGTCGCATGCATTCATCTACACATCTAACCACCCAGCTTAGAATTCTACAATGTCACTGTATTTTCAGAACAATAAGTCTGCAAATCTTAAATATTAATGACAGAGATGTCATGCATCAAGAGATGAGACCTATTCTATTATAATTTTTAATAAATTGCATCCACAGTTATGGCATTCTAATAAAAACTGAAAAATTTTGCAGTAGTAATTAGCATTTTGTGGAATGAATAGAAATGATACGAAAAATAAGCGATTCTCATAAATTTAAAGTAATCGAATGTTTTCGTCTAGAGTTTCCGATTTTTTGGCTTGAAGTAAAATTTTGAACCATCTATGAGACAACAAATGAGTCATGATCTGTGCAAGTCATGCAGAGAAATGAGAATTTAATGTATGCTTTCATATTTAAAGATGTATATTGCCATAGCATTGTTATTCAACGTTTGGCTTTGTTAGCTACGTGAATGAGAAACGGCTAGGAATCCTACGTCTACGTGTTGTCGAAAGCAGCTTTTGTTTTACAGCAAAACTTCCACATGTCAGTAATCCGGTTATTGTTGAATATTTTACTATCATATGAGAATGAAAAGATTGTATTCATTGTTTTTATTATCCTAATTTGAGATAATTAAATCTTTCGTTTTGTTTGATTTGATTAGAACAAGATTTTAGTTGTTAATCGGTTATAGGTTTGAGTAATTTAATCTAGCATTGAATTTAGAAATTCTACTAAGTATGAAATAAATTAGCCAAAAAACGATTAGCATTGTTGATTTTCTTTTCGAAGTAGCCAACAAAGCAGAACTAACTTTAAACGAAAATCAAATGCATTCAGAAATTTTTAAAATCACTGATAATCTCATTGTCAATTGTGCCATGATTCAGAGACACTGTTTCCCTTTGGTAACGCGATTCTCATCATATTTCAGATAAATTAGTAATTTATTATTATATTTTCAACATAACTGATTGTCGAACTTCTTAGCAGTCATGATTAAAGTATGGTTGCTATTTATTTGTAAAAAGAAATGAAATTTGAACTGTACAAAAGTTCTGTGCTGAAAAATTAGGTAGAAATAAATTACAGTAGCTTGAGATTTATTATTTATCTAAAATTAACAAATTTAATTATTCATTTTTCCAACACATTGTAGAAAGGTTAATTGTGGATGAAGAGAAAATTGAATATTAATGTTAATATGAATTTGCCATTTTTAGCAGTGTAAAAAAATCTAGGAAGTAATACTGGTCAAAAAGAAAGGCACAAAAGCGTGAATTGGGTTAATTTGGAAATCATTCTAATAGTTTTTAATGAGGTGCTAAAATTATCACTGATATGTATGCAACTATCACGAATTAATTAGTTAAGAAGCTCAGAGTTATTAAAAGATGCTTCATTCTATGTTTCAATGCTTTTTCATTTTGTGTCTTTAAAATTATATAAATAAGAAATGGAATGATAGTATACTTTCAAGATTTTAAGCTCTATCTCATCTTTTTTTTTTATTGTTAGCGTAACGACTAATAAAAAAGTGAAAAAAAAAAAAAAAAAAAAAAAAGAAAATGGAATCCATAGCAGTGATAATGAATCTTTAATTTAGATGCAAAGATGTGAAAATTAGAGATCTAATCTTAATAAGAGCTTTTAATTTCAGATTCATGATGGAATACTCCAACTGATAAAATTATCTTTATGCTTCATAGGACGCTTATCTTCTCAAACCATTCATTTTCTTTTGAACGAAGAATAACGAAGTATTTGGTTGATATTAAAATGAAAAATAAAAATGCAACTGAAAGTCTACAGATTTACGTTTACTATCTGATAAGATATGATAAATTTTTCATCACATTAATTGCTTTGTAATATGCTTAAAGGACATTTTAGCCAGCCTAACGGATGGGTAAATTGTAAAAAGAATGATTTTATAATTTTTATATCACACTTTCGTATGATAAAGCTTTCTTATGCTTTATATTTTTGATCTCCATTACTTTTTAGCAATACTGATTGTTCCTTTTTTTTTTTTAGTGTAACTTTATTTTATGTATTGTTTTAGCATTATAAATTTAAAGTTTTTTTTTTAATAGTTGGTGGTTTTAGAATTTTGCTCCAATTTCTACCATGTGAACACTGTTGAAGAAAATAATTTTTGATTATTGATTGTCTGTAAATTGATGTAAAGAAAGAGAAGAAAAAAAAAAAAAAAAGTGAACGAAAAGCTAGCGCTGCTATTTTGTTATATTATTTCATTTATGAATTAAATTTAAGTATTTAAGGAATTCAAAATGTTGTTGCTGTAATCTTCATTTACTTTTTGTTCAAATTCTATTAAATGTTATAGTTTTCACTCTGCTTTTTGAATTTAATTAAATCGTTCCCCCTTTATTTATTTCCGATATTAAATTTTTTTTTCCAACTTTTTTCTTCTGTTTTTATTTATTCACATTATTTAGCATTGACAAATTTGCTGTAACTGATAATTTTTGAGGGAAATAGAATTTTCACATGCTGCTAAATTATCTTTATTCAGGAAATTTTGGAATTTATAACGAATGCATAATTCGTATTATCCAGTAAATTTAATTAAATAAATTTGGAAAAAAACTCACTTTTGCCAATACTAGCTATTTCGATAACAAATCAATAGGTCTTACGTTTTTGGTAATTAATGAAAGGACGACTAACTTCATTGTTAACCAAAAAAAAAAAAAAAAACGGATAATATTTGACTATTCTTGAACAGAATTGAACCGGGATGACTTTGTTAAATGGATTTTTAAATATTTTATGAAGCTGAAGTTCGTGGTAAGTTTTTTGCCAATCTTTTTGTTATGAAGTTTAATAACACTCAGGTTAATTAATCATATCAATATCTCATTAATGTTATTTGACTTTTTAGGAATGAGCTACAGAATCAAAATTTTCATATTAATATGATTGGTAATAAGCTAAGTACAGAATAGATTTTCAAAAAATCAGTATACACTGAAGCTTTTTTCCTTCTCCTACTACTATCTTATTCATAGATTTCAAAGTATTTTTTCTTCCCATTTAGAAAAAATAGTTTATAAACATCAGAAAAGCGACATTTTGTGATAGAATGTGATATGCAGAAATGGAGGAAAAAAAAAATACAATAATTAATATTGTTAATTATGATGGAATCCATATGAAAAGATTGTTTATGAAAGACAGTTTTCAATTTAAGAAATAACAACCCATATGTGATGTCATCAACAACGATTTTTGTTTATTTCTGACTTTCAAATTTCAACAATGTTTGCAGTAAAACGATAGATGCAATTAGAATTGTAGAAGTTATAGCTTTTGAATAATCCAATTCATTCAATACTTTTCAATAATACATTTAAAAGCTCAATGATTCGTTTCTATTTTAATTTCATTTTTAGATTCTTTTTCATATTTTCCATTCAGTTTGTCAACAAAGACGAATCTAATCTGATAAATTCATACATTTAAAAAAAAAATATGCTTTGTTTTGTGACAAAATAGCAAATTCGATGTGAATCATTTCAAAAATCACTTGTTAAGTTCAAATTCATTTCTATTTTCAACTAATTTGTTAATGTAAAATAATAGTTTTATGTTAATAACTCTGCAATACTGTGATAAACTTTTTACCATTTATTAAAATTAAAAATATATCTGCTTGTAATTATTAGCATAATTATTTGCGAACAGTTTTTCTCGCATACTCTAAGTTTGCGTTAACTAACGATAAAAAGTATCATTCGTTTATTGTTTCACAAACAATTTACAATTTTTTCATTTTCGACATAAAGGATTGGAAGAATTATCATTTTTTGTTATACAATGTTTGACCTGAATTATGCATTCAGTTCCCCCCCCCTCCTATTATTGTTATGAAAAAGTAATTCGGTTAGAAGTCTAAATATGCATGCATATTGTATATGTATTTAATATAAACATTGTAATTAACTAAGGATTTGTATGATTACAAAATGTGCATTAGCATAAGATTAATGAAAATATGTGTTGTGATTAATTTAGTTCAAATTACATATAAATGCTGACGATCGAGTACCAAAATTCGTTATCATTATCTTGATCGAATTTATATTATTCGATTGATGTCACCATTCGTCGATTAGTTAACAGCATTTTAATGGCAAAAAGTCGTGCAAAACGCTTATTATCATTGAAACGATGGTTTTTCTTAATAATTTTTGGTGAGTTGAACATTGCTTTTTATTTTATTTTTTGAAATTAAATTTCTTTCAAAAATCATTTTGCATTGCTTTGTTATAATCGTTATCGTTTATCAATAAGAAAAAAAAAATGTGAATTTTTGCAGCTTATTTGTGCATTGCCAAAAATTAAATTTATATTCTAACCCTTTCGCAATTTTGTTTCGTCCGTATTTTCCTCAATTAGAAATGAAATGGGCAATGGAAAATAATTTTCACAAACTAAAATTTGAAACAATTTGTTGTATTAGCAACAAATTTTAAATAGATATCATTTAACTGCCTTATCAATATAATTAGGAATGATTATCAATCATTTCAGTAATATTTCTTGCTACATTTAATATGTTATATACGGGTATGTTATGGCAAATTCAGGATCGATATACTTGCAAAGAATGCTCACAGTTATATTTTGATGATGAACAATCAAACGTTAGTTAGCTATTTTCTCCAAATCAGAACAATCATCGACATTTCAAGAAGATGAAATTTTTGCTCAGCACAGAGAAATTTGAACTGAACAATTACCAAATCCAAATATCCGTTATACGATCGCCGCTCCATGCAATATTTGACTAAACAATGAATTTTCGGATTTACATCTGATTGTATATGCACTAATAACAATATTAATAGCGCTGCAAGTGCATTGTGCATTTTGCATGCGTCACGTATGCACGAAGCAAACGTTTTTGGTTTGCAGTTCAATACATCGAAGCAAGCACTATCATCGATATTGCAATTGAGCAGGTATTTAGAGAATAAAACACTACTCGTTGATCCTCGCTTCATATCACTAATACAAGGTGAAGCTTTTGTTGTGCGATACACTTTTACAAAGTTTTATTAAAATAAATTTTATTAAAACAAAATTAAATTTAAACAATCTTAAAAAATATCTTAAAAACGCTCAGCAAATCACATTTCAACTAGCTATAATATTGCAAAATTCATTTAAAAAAGACACTAAATTGCATTATTTATGTCTTAGATTCGAGCATGCGCCGAGATGAAAAGATTCAAATTAAGTTTCAAAGAAGAAAAAATGTTCTCAATATCCTTTATTTAAATAATATTTCGATACTTTATTGGATAACAGCCGCAGTA